CTTACACAGGGAACTGTGAAGTGGCGGCAAGGAGGCTTACTTAGCTTTCCTGTTGGTAAGATTGGATGAGGTTTCTTTTTTTTTCCCCATAACATGAGAACAAGGCAAAAACTCCAGAACAAAGGAGACATTGCAGCTGATCATGACAACACCCCCACCCCCACCCCACCGGAGCTTTGGGTTAAGACTCCCAATATAGAAACATCTGCTTATGAGGCAGAACATGAAGTGGTTGATGCATATCTGTGAAAGCCACACCAGTGTCTCTGGGGCCAGTGAAGCCATATATTGGTCTACCATGGGGCATATGTAATAAGACAGGCAGTAGTGAGGACTGTGACAAATAGAACATCCATGTCTGTGTAGTGTGTGAAGAAGTCATTAACTATTCAACTATTCTCAAATGTTGCCTCTAGTTCCAGATGTTTAAAATACTGAAGCCCACTGCACCCCATGATTGCTACAGGACTTTGGGCATATTTTTAAATCTCTGTTAGCCCCATTGGTACAAGGAGAATGAAATGGGCCAGTACAGTTAGACCACTTAACACAGTGCTTGTTACACAGTATATACTCAATACATACTGGCTTGTTTTGTTTTCCCCTTTTCCTTTCCTTCTTCCTCTAATCATCTCTGTTGTCTTCCTTTTTCTATTTCTTCTTTCTTTCTTTCTTTCTTTCTCACATGAGAACTAAATAAAGTATACGTTTGAGGCAGATCCAATCTACCAGTCATCACTCCGTGACTCTGCTTTTACATTTCACTTTGAGGAGGAAAAAAGACAACATGCTAGATGCCATGTTTGATGGACCAATCTGTACTGCAGCTTTCAAAGCACAATCTTCCTTACCAGCCATCAACACCAGCTTTCTGCAGTTCAGAAATCCCAAATGACAAAGATCCCATGAAGTCATTTCTGCTGGTCAGATCCCAGTCCCAAATCTCTACTGACAGTCTTCTATCTTTATCCGATTCTTTCAGCTGACTGCAGAGAGAAAAAGGAAAAGTCAGCGGAGGTTGCAGTGACTGCTCAAGCAGATGATACGTACAAGAGGACAAGACCTGGAAGTAGACATTTTTAAAGATTACAAGCTGCTGTAAGAAAACTAGTCAGTTTTCATCCCAGGCTAGCTCCCCAGGGAGTAAGAACTTCTCCTGTTTGACAGCCTGTGGCTTAAATCGGTTGAGGACCTCAGCCAGCTCCTGCAGGAACAATTGTTACTACTTCTGCTGTCTTATGTCTTAATAAGGCTTACAAGGTTTGGGAAATCCTACTGGCAGACACAAGAAGAAATACAGATATCAATAACATAATTGTGTATGTGTCTGTATTTGTTCACATGTGGGCTGGGGATGAGATTGAGGAAATATATGGAGAAAAGAGTCTTGTATGTGTCTCTGCAAAATAAATAAATCAATCAATAAATAGTTTTGAGAGATGTCCTTGATAGAGGCTAAGATGGCCTCAGTTTTACCCTGACAGAGGAAAAAGGAGATGATACTACCATAAGAACTATGTTTGGACCTGTGGCTAGAAGCAATAGCCTCTTAAGTTGGATTACCTGAAGCCAAATTCCACTCCATTCCAATTTGCTATGGGACTTTGGGCACATTCTTCAACCTCTGTAAGTCCCATAGGTTAAAATGGGAATGAAATGAGTCAATGAAATTAGATCACTTAACACAGTGCTTATTATATAGAGTACATGCTCAGTAAATATTGGTCATTACACATTTATTATAGTTATCACCTGTTGGCCCAGATACATCAAAAAGGGCTCCCCCAGATTCTTAGGGTTCTGGCCAGGGAAGACCCTCATGGAAGCTGCCAGAGATCTCCCAGTAGGCTGCAGACTAGCATCATCCATAAACTTGGCCCTAGAGTGGGTGTCACAACACCCTATGGATTACGTCCCACTGTTTGCTGAAACCACAGCTTCTCCCACAACTTGCCTTCACCTAGCAACACAACATACTCTTGCAAGGTTGTTGGCATCTCTTACTGCAAAAAAAAAAAAAAGAAAAGAAAAGAAAAGCAATTTCAGCATTAACAGGACTGAAAATGTCTAAGTACCAACTAGTGATGGCTGTAGAATCTGTGGATGGATCCTTGGCATGACACTTGTTTAATGGGAATTTTAATTTTAGTAGCATCAATAGCTAAGAAGCTCTATAACGTAAGATAAGCTCTTAGGATAATACACCCTGCTCTATGTCAAAAATTGATTCTTGACTTTCATAATGCACTTCCTAGCCAATCTTCAAGGTTAACTGTAAGTTTTCTAAGCTTCTTTTCCACAAAGTTCACAAGAAAAACTGGTTTCTTTCATTTAGCAAAGTGTTTTCAAGGTTCATCACATTACCGCATGCATCAGTGCTTCCTTCTTTTTTATGACTGAATGATATCCCATTGAATAGATAGACCACATTTTGTTTATCCATTCATCATTTGGTCAACATTTGGGTTATTTCTTTTTTTTTTTTTTTTGGTTACTGTGAACAGGGTTACTATGAACATTCATATACCCAGTGCAAAAGATCACATATTGTATGATTCCACTCATAGGAAACACCCAAAACAGTTAAATCCACAGACACAGAAAGCAGACTAGTAGCTGCCAGGGACTCGAGTAAGAGGGGACGGGGAGTAGCTGCTTAACAAGTACAGAGTTTCCCAGAGGGCTGATGAAAATTTCTTCGAACAATAGAGATGATGATGGTACAATGCCGTGAATGTACTAAATGTCACTGAATTGTGCACATTAAAACTATTAATAGGGACTGGATGGTAGCACAGTAGTAGAACATGATGCTCTACAAAGCTAACCCACATGGGAAGGTTGCAGGTTCATGTCCAGAGACCTCTCTGAGTATGCTGGACAAAGGCCCCCAGTGTAGGGCAGCCTGAAGCTGGCGGTGGATCACAGCATTGAGATCCTATTGGTGGTGCTCTTTCTCCTCTGTCTTCCTTGATCTCACTCACTGATTTTCTCATTCATGGAATAAATAAATAAACTTTTGAAATTGTTAATGGTTAATTTTATATTATGTGGATTTTACCTCAATTTGAAAAGAAAATGTTAAAAATTAAATAGCTTCCCTCTAAACCAAGGTGCATCTCTTATATCACCCATAACCAGTACCCAAAAAGCCCATAGAGAGAAGGCTGGAAATAGCAGCAGCATTATAGCCAGGCTCCACCCTCAACTGGATAAAGGAGGTAAAAAAGCAGAGGATCAGAAGTGAAGATGCAACTGTCCATAGAAAGGATGAGGGTCGAATAACACGTCAGCCTAGAGAAACAGAAGTTAATAAGGAGTCCATCCAAAAGCCAGGAATGTAGATAGTAAAAGGAAAAAGACTAACGCATGAGAGTTGTATAGATCTTGAGGATAAATGCTAACCATCTCACTTGTGATAGAATAAAAAAAGGATACACTGTCAGACCAGCAGGTAGTGTGGTGGTTAAGTCACTGGATCCCACATGCAGACTCTGCAGTTCAAGTCCTGGACCAGGGAACTTGAAAAACACAATAGGCACATGTGCCTATGTGCCCAAAATCCCAAGAGGAGAATGGAGGACAGGGGATTGCAGTACAAACATCCTCTATGGGGAATGATTTCTAACTTTGTCTCTCTATCTCTCTCTCCCTTCCTCCTTCCCTTCAGTACATGTGCCCTATGGCAAAAATCTTTAAAAGAAAAAAGAAAAAGGAAAAGGAAAGAGAAGAAAGAAAGAGAAAATTTCAAGGATACAGTGTCAACCATCCCACTTTTGATAGAAAAACCCAAGGTAATATATTCAATCCAAATTGAATCAAACTATCTGCTGAAAGGCAAATATAGAATGACTCCTAACTAAATCCAAAGATGGTTCAATTTTAAGAAAGCTACTCTTAATAAATACCTTCATCATATTTATAGGTCAAAATAGAAAACTATAAGATCATTGTAGTTATCTAGAAATAGGACATTTTCTTAAGATGACGACTACCTGAAGTAACAACACCACAGTCTGTGATAAATGTAATCCCATTAAAGTCAGGAATAAGACAAAGATACCCATTACCACAGCCATTATTCAACACTTTTTCCAAGGGTCCCACAAGTGCGTTAAGACAATAAAAAAATAGGAGTTCTGTAATTCAAGCTGACAAGTAAAACAGATTTAAAGAAAGAATATTGAAAAGTAGGAGATAAAGCAATCTTCCTGCAACCTTCACATTCACCCAATCATAGTCATTTCCTCCCATGGTCACACTCTGGAACTTATCCCAGAAATTACACCACTTTCTCACTATCAATTTTATGTACCCCACTATCTTATATCTCTTCCCTTTTTTTTTTTTAGTTCATTAACTCTATTACTCCACCACAACAAGCCTTCCTCTGCCAACAGAGTCCAGTGAACCCGATATACTCTCTCTACCTTTCTTTCCTATACTCCATACACCTCCAGATTAGATTTCATGGTACACTATAATTGCTCCCTTGAAAACATCCTCAAGTCCCTGCTCTTCTTTCTTTCCACTGTACTTATCTGAAAAACAGGCAAACAAAAAACAAAACAATAAAATGAAAATATATAAATTTTTTAAATTAATTAATTAATTAAAATAAAATATTTTTTTAAATCTTAAATTCAAATACCTGCCCTTTGTTTTTCTACATACAAGCAACTGACCATTGCTGGGGAAAAAGAAAAAAAAATGTTTAAAATCATAAGGAGCTGGAACTGAATAAAGGAGAAAGTAAAATAATTGAGTGGCTACCAAGATGCAAGTTGCAATTTATTCTGCACTGACATTTTTCTGCATTCCAGCAATGTAGCACTTTCTTCCATTTACCCACAAGATGAATTCATTCTTTTTTTTTTTTTTTTTGGAGAGATTTTCACTATAGGGCGCGTGAGCTCGCCAGACAGACAGAGAGAGACATTAGAGATAGAAAGCGAGAAATCACCCCCCAGGGGGGATGGTCACGCCGCAATCCCTTCTCCTCCATTCTCCTCTCGGGATCTTGGGCACGCACACACATGCGCCCGGTGTGAGTTTTAAGCCACCGGGTCCGGGATGCGAACCGCGGTCGACTACGTGGGAGTCCAGCGACATAGCCATTACGCTAACTGCTGGTTCCCAAGATGAATTCATTCTTTAGCCCAGCTCACAAGCTGCATTTCATTTTTGTACCAAAAGCAAGAATTTTTCCTCTTTGTCTTGATTTAGTTAAATTCAACAAGAAGGTCCCTACTATGTGATAAGCATTCTGCTAGGCAGTGACAATATAAGGGACAACATAGGACATTGATCCTGCCCCCAAGAAATAGATACAACCAAATTTCTAAAAAGCATAGTTGACTTGCAATGAGACAGTAGCCAGCAAGTGGACACATGGCTATGAGAGGTCACAATCTACATCTTACCTAGAAGTTACTTTACACATTTGAACCTCACTTTCTTGATCAATAAAATGGGTTGTTGTAAGAGTAAAACCGGATTTAAAAAACAAATACAAGCTTAGCATAGAACCTGAAACCTAGAAAATAATAAACGTTAACTGTATTATTGCTATTTCATTATTGCTATTATGCATATCCAGTGACCTCTCTCACTACATTTGTCCATTTTCATTACGAAGACCTAATCATTTCCAAATGAACCAATAGCAAACTGAGCCACTTGTATTTTTCTTCTTGAGAACAATGCTTTTGGCCTGTGCATCTGAACTCTTCCAAACGAGTGCTTCCTAAACCTCAGCATGCATAAGAATCACTCAGAAGGCTTGTGAGACATTGATTCCTGGGACTCAACCCTAAAGATATATGAGGTTCCAGTTCAATAAGTCTGGAGTCAGACCTGTTCATTTGCTTTTCTAACAAGCTCTTGTTAGAAACAAGCTCTATAGGCACACGGAGTCCACAGAACACTCATTAAATAACATTCTAGAGGATAATTAGTTAAGATACCCATGCATTTTCTCCATGGC